TGATTAAGAAATGGTTTTTGGACTCCGAGATCGCTAGGGGAAACGAAAATTCTTGGATGGATGACGAGACTTTCTTTTCATGGAAGGATGATTCCAGAAACTATGAGGAAAATCTACAAGAGTTGCATGTGCAAAAGATGAAGTTTCAATTGTCAAGCATTGGTGATTCAACAATGGAATTACGAGCACTACCTCGTGGTCTTTCTGCCTTGCTAAAAAAGGTAAAGTGTCCTTCTCTTGCTCTACTATTATGATTTTCCCTTTTTATTTTCTATCCTTCCTTTCATTCTAATAATTTTAGTTAAAATGGAACACAATGCAGGTGAATCCATCAATTAGACAGCAGTTGATAGATGAACTAAAACAGGTACTCCATTGATTGAAGCTGCATGCAGACTGCCAGCACACAGGGCCCACGGTCAGCTCATCTTCTCATTGTACACAATGATTTCAAATTATTTCTTGTTTCATTCACCTACCTGCATGAAAACCTTGTAATCTTGCTCTCACTTCACTGTTAAAGGATTTGAAGAAGCTGTGCTGATCAGTCTTAGAATTGTAAATAGTAGTCTTGAGCATGATGTAGAAGAGTGTAGTCTTCCATCGTTTGGGAAGTAATTTGACAGTTTTAGCAGGATCTATGAAATGAAGTTCCTGCATAGAACCCATGTATTATTCATTGTTCATGCAATAATATGTTACCAACACCCATATTTTCTGTTCATCGATGTTGTGATAGCATAGCTGCCTCCCGCAACCTTGGTTGTGTGTTTTCATAATTTAAATACAATTCTTATTCTAGTTCCTCATTTTTAGGCTACCGGTTTACTTGATGAAACTAGATGAAATTGTAAAAGTTTGTAGAAATGGTAATATTCTCCTCTCTTGATTCTATTCTCTTCATTTTCACTTATCTCGAGTTCTTCTCCTCTCTCCCTCTCCTTCTCTTTTGACTTCTCTTCTTTCCTCTGCTTCTCTATTTCCTTTTCTTTCTCTCTTTTTTTCGTCTGCAGCTCTCCTTTTGTCAGCTCTCTTTTAACTCTCAGACATTTTTTATGCAAAATTTGTAGATCTCTTCTACGAGTTTTATATATAGCTGGAGCCTGTTGCCTCTTGCTGTCCAGCGCGGCCCTTGGTGGCGTTTGGTTTAATTTAGTTACTAGTGTTAATTGCAACAGGCTCTAAATCTGGAATTCCTTGACCATTCACGGCACAAGTAAAAACGTGCTTGTTGAAAGAACTGGCAAGGGTATTGGCCCACTCACAAGAAGAAGATGGAGCACAGTCTATCTTGTTGATCACAAGAACTATTGGAGTCGATGAAGATTCATTCTGAATTTGAAGAGAAAACATCAAGCGTGTTTTAGCTTCTTGGGTTTTTTTCCTCACAATTAAACCAAATAAAACACAAATTGATCTAGTAAAACTGAAACTCAAAGATTAACATACATCAGAGGAAGAAAAAAAGCTGAGGATAAATCATTATTAAAGAGACTATGAAGTATGAAGCAAGGCACCAACATTCTCACTTAATAAGAATCAACTGCGAACGGGAAACTAGCAATGAATGGAAAGACTTAATAAACCTTTTTTCTTTGAACCTCTCAAGAAGTTTTTCATCCTCCGAAGTCCAACCCTCTGTAGCACTTATAGTCGTGACAATAACATCAGCACTTGTAGCAACTGCTTCAGACCTTTCCACACCTACAAAGAAAATAGTCAGAAACAATCTGAGAAAAAGATTGTATTGTTTTCGGAAGCACTTAACGAATTACATATCAGCATAAAACTTTGGATGACATTAGAAAGTCTATGCCCTTGTTTGGGCTCCATTAAACAAAAAATACATTTTTTTAAAAACTCATTTACAACCACACATTATTCAATAAAATAATATTATAAGTAAACACAAAACATTTCCTTACTTTTTAACCACACATTCTCCAAAAAACATAGCTCTTCCAAAATACATTTTTCCCAAGAATTTAATTATAATGGAGCCCAAACAGGGGCTATATGTTATCAGAATCACCTCGATATTATTATCATGAATGGTAAGTGATTAATTATTCTATCTATAGCAAAGTACAAAAAAGATATTCATACATAGAACCATTGTCACAATTAAGACTATGATACTCAGCACACACCACCAGATGCCTAAACATGAACTCGTCATAGTAGGAAGTAAGTAGATTCAAGTCAAAAAATTAGAAATTTCGATTAATTTATTTTTTTTTATCAAAATGAACTAATGTTACAAACATTTTCAGCTTGGTCATCGGAATGAAATATCAAACAACATTTAACTTGAGCAAAATTTAATCAAATGGGTGAAGAGGAAGATCTCACCAATTTTCTCCGCTATGTCATCAGTTCCCCTGATACCAGCTGTATCTAGGAGGGTAACATGAATACCACCAACAGAAATATTGGCTTCTACTATATGACGTGTTGTACCAGCAATATCTGTGACTATTGCCCTCTCACTCTGTACGTTAAAATGCATTTTAAGAGCACAAAATTAAATGTATTGCTAAAAAAATAGGGAAAAGGACCAAAAAATCAAAATAAAAAATTAATATAAGAATTTGTTTGCATACAATAATTCAAGAAAAAATGAACTTCAATCTAAATTGAATTCCTGAAAACAAGCACACTGCTTAATCACATTAGTCATGCAAATTACTAGCTTTTGAGATATTTCATGAACTGTAATGAGATTATATTGACATCCTATTAAATCAATTCAGGAGAGAAGGGCCTTATAGATGCCTTGCAACGGTCATCGAATTCACATCACAATCAATGATTCAATCTAGAAGTTTTCGAGCAAGAGATTTTGTAATTTGTTACGATCCTATGAAGCACGGAACACTTCAATTATGGCGGTGTGTCCATGTCTGACACGAGTCATTAGGGCACGGACATTCCATGGCATGGGTCCGACAAGCAACATCGTGAGTCCTATTTTCTATATATATTTTAAATTTCTAATGCTAGAGGGATAATCAATGGACATTACTAGGGTAAGTGTGTATAAATTTAAAATGTAAGAATTTAAATTGATGTCTCCCAATTCGTTTCTGCGTCTACTTTTTAGAAAAATCACGTGTCGTTTACATGTTGTGTTGTATCGCGTGTTCATGCAACTTACAAGAAAATAGATACCCTAATAATACATGTCAATGATACAATGGCTCATTAAAGCAAACTTATAAATAGTTTCACATGCAAGGAAGAGAATAAAAGCATAGACTAACACGATTCACGTGCCAAAGCAAATAATCATGTAGCAATGGGAACAATAACGATAACAATGCAATAGGTTTAGTGCCAAAAAATTAAGTTTCCAAAACATATGTACCTTGCTCCATGTATTAAGCAGACTCGATTTCCCAACATTTGGTCCGCCAACAATTGCTATCTGAAGGTAATTTATTAAGGAATTAGTACAAATTCATAAAATATGAGTAGAAAATGTTAGTATATTTCAGAAAAGCATGATGAAAAGGCACAAGAATGTAAGATGACTGATTGTTCTGCTATATTAAATTAAAAGGTTAAGTGAATAACATTAACCATTTGACGATTTATATAACCTCATGCAAACATTGGGCAAAAAGAAAGACATCAAATGGTTACAATGTAGAAAGGGGAAAATTGAAAGTCAGTGAGAAGCCAGGGGCAATAGTCAAAGATGCGTGTTCTACAATATATTCTTCCAATATATTTCCCTTCAATATGCTAGCGATAATCATCAGAGATTCCATGGCACAATGTACCTGGAATCCAGACTGAAGAAGTTTGTCATAATTGGCAGTTTCCAAAGCATTTTCCACCTCTTGCAACATCCCAAGTATCTTATCTATAACTAGGTTCAACTCAAGGGTAGGCATCTCATCTTCAGAATCCAGACGAGCTTCAATCTCAGTTAGCAA